GTCGTGACTGAACCAACCGTTAGACCACACGACAGACATGTCCAGAGCTCTTTAAGGCAGACCAGCCCTAAATTCATTCTATGAAGCTGGTATAACCTTAGTTCTGAAACCAGACATAGGCAGTTCCAAAAGAAGGCTGAAGACTCCTCCAAGTTATAAAGATTTTAAAAGAAATCTGAAAGTAAATTACCAAAGTGAATGCAGCAGTGTAATAAATGATTAATAAGTAGGGTTTATTCAGGATATTTCAATATGAAGAAAACTATCAGCCTAATTCATTATATCAATAAGAATAAAGGTTATGATTATACCAAATAACACTAATAGGAATTTAATAATATTTAGTAGCTACAACTAATAAAAGTTAAAATAGTAATGGAACCTACTTACATATATGATAAAGATAGCAAATGTCATTCAAAATGCAACTCTAGGCTCTGTGCCCATAGCACAGTGGTTACAGCACTGGCCACATGCACCGAGGCTGGTGGGTTCAAACCCAGCCCGGGCCTGCTAAACAACAATGACAACTGCAACAAAAAAAATAGCTGGGCATTGTGGCAGGCGCCTGTAGTCCCAGCTACTTGGGAGGCTGAGGCAAGAGAATCACTTAAGCCCAAGAGTTTGAAGTTGCTGTGAGCTGTGACGCCACGGTACTCTACCAAGGGCGACATAGTAAGACTCTATCTCAAAAAACAAAAAAAGCAAAAACAACAAAATGCAACTCTAAGGCCATTTCCATTAAAATCATAAAAAGGCATGTTGAGATCACCATTGTTATTCAACATTGTTTTAGAGGTCCTACCATATGTGATAAAACAGGAAAATAATAAACATTGTAAAAGAACTGGGAATATGATCTTTTCTGCTAATCATCTGAGAAAATAGAAAATATAAGGGATTAAGATTTTTTTAAAAGCTAGTATAATTAATAAGGGTTCATTTAGCAAAGCGATTACATAAATATACCCCTCAAAAAAGCCAATAACCTTTCTCCATGCTAACAATCAAATATAGGCTGGGTGCAATGGCTCACACCTGTAATCCTAGTACTCTGGAGGCCTACGCAGGAGAACTGGAGTCGGAGATCAGCCCGAGAGAGACAGAGACAGAGACAGAGAGACCCAGGAAAATTAGCCAGGCATTATAGCTGGCGCCTATAGCCCCAGCTACTCAGGAGGCTGAAGCAGGAGGATCCCTTGAGCCCAAGAGTTTGAGGTTGCTGTGAGCTATGATGACACCACTGCACTCTACCCTGGCTAAAAAGGGAGACTTTTGCCAGAAAGAAAGAGAAAAAGAGAGAGAGGAAGAAAGAAGAGAGAGTTGGGCATCCCCTGTGGCTCTGTGAGTAGGGCACCGCCCCATATACTGAGAGTGGTGGGTTCAAACCCGAACCCGGCCAAACTGCAACAAAAAAATAGCCAGGCATTGTGGCAGGTGCCTGTAGTCCCAGCTACTCAGGAGGCTGAGGCAAGAGAATCACCTAAGCCCAGGAACTGGAAGTTACTGTGAGCTGTGACGCCACAGTACTCTACCGAGGGCAACAAAGTGAGACTCTGTTTCAAAAAAAAAAAAGAAAGAAAGAAGAGAGAGAGAAAGGAGAGAGACTATAAAATCATTTCAAAGGACATAAAAATGAAATCTTAACAATAATTTAGTATTGAATCAGAAAACTTTATATAATAACCTCAGTTCTACCAAATTTTATTACACAAAATTAGTACACTTCCAATTGAAAATTTTTGATTAGTTTTTTTTTTTTCTGTTTTGGGGTGTGTATGAGGAAGGGACAAAAATGGTTAAGAAAACTGAATAAAAGAATTTACAGATTTATATAGGAAAAGAAATCTTTGAGGATAGTCAAACATTTTTTGAAAACACCGACACAGAGAGAGTAAACTTTCCTTCCTGGGTTTTAAGGGATTCTGTGAAGTCAAAGCTCACAACAGATGCTGTGCGTGAGAGCACACAGATGGGGGAGAGTAGAGATGCAGAAATAGAACCCCCCACAGAGGGATCCAATGGATGACAATGGAGGTTTTTCAGCTCCATGGAGAAAGGGTGGTATTTCTTTCTTTCTTTCTTTTTTTTTTTTTTTTTGAGACAGGGTCTCACTATGTCACCCTCAGTAGAGTGCAATGGCATCACAGCTCACAGCAACCTCCAACTCCTGGGTTTTAAGCAATTCTCTTGCCTCAGTCCCTGTAGCTGGGCCTCCAGGCGCCCACCATAATGCCTGGCTGTATTTTGGTTGCAGTTGTCGTTGTTTAGCAGGCTCCGACTGGGTTTGAACATGCCAGCTTTGGTGTATTTGACCAGTGCCCTACCGCTGAGCCAAAGGGTGGTATTTCAATAGTTATCACACTGTCTTTGCATAAGAAAAAAAAATTAAATTGAACCCCTCAATCATACTATTTATAAAAATTTATTTTGGATGAAGTAAAGATGAAAATGGAAAAAGTAAAAGAGAATTTAGGAGAACAATGGATTAGATAGAGACTTTTAAAAGTAAAAATAGGAAACCAAGAAGTTATAAAGGAAAAGATAGGCATACTTCACTATTTAATGTTTTAAAAATCAAATGGCCCAGCAATAATAAATAAATAAATAAATAAAAATCAAATGGTAAGATACACCATAAACAAAGCCAAAAGGCGGCAGTGCCCATAGCTCAGTGGGTAGGGCACCCACCACATACATCAAGGCTGGCAGGTTCAAACTCAGCCTGGGCCTGCTAAACAACAATGACAACTTCAACCAAAAAAAAAAAAACAAAAAAAAACAAACAGCCAGGCATTGTGGTGGGTGTCCTAGCTACATGGGAGGCTGAGGCAAGAGAATCACTTAAGCCCAAGAATTGGAGGTTGCTGAGAGCGGTGATACCACAGCACTCTACCCAGGGAGACATTATGAAACTCTGTCTCAAAAAAAAGACAAGTAGATTGAAGGAAATAACTGCAACACAGGTGACAGATACAGGTTGCATACCTATGCTAGACATTAGCTCCTTCAGATTGATAAGGGAAAGACAAATACCTCTGTAGAAAATCAGAGAATATGATAGGCAAGTCACCTAAGAGGAAATGTAAATGGACAATTAGCATATGGAAAAATTCTCAACTTCACCATAGTTAGGGAATACAATTTAACCATGAGTGACCCACTGTTTTGGCACCCAGCCAGGTGGTATTCACAGGATAAGATCTGGATGGGCCTGGGCAGCCTGATGTCAGAACCTAAGCCAGCACTATTGTACCAGGTGTGCTTCTTGAGGTTCTGGTTTTGAGGCAGGAAGGTCCTGGGGTCTAGTCTGGCATGGCCAGGGCAATCAGAAGGGCACTGGAGAAGACTAAAGGCCCCTTAGCTGTTTGCCAGCTAAGTGTTCTGACAATGGGTACCACTGACCAATGTGTCCCATTGGAATGTGCCCTTCTAGGGCAATAGGAAAGGCACATACCCTGTGGCTTACTAGTGTCTTACTGGCCACCAGGCAGCAGAAAGGAAAGCATTAACTTGCTCACCTGTAGGAGGATAATTACCCCAGCATTGCTGATGGGGGAACAAATAGAACAATCTGAAGACGGGAGAGGACTGGTTAAGTGAAACCTTCCTAGTCCAGACCATGAAATTGTTGAAATGAATGCCTCATCCCATCCCTGCTGGTGATCTCCACAGCAAGTTGAAGCAGAAAAGCAAGATACAGGTGACACTATAATTTCACTTATGTGAAATGAAAGGACATAGCGCATCTATCCAGTTAATCTCATATGTAAACAAACAAACATGAATAGCGTGCAGGTCACACTCTACTCTTGCTTCCTGCCAGTCTGGGTCACTTAGCCGGCTCAGTCCATGAACTGCTAGCTTCCTTGGCTCTGGAGTACTTGAGACTAAGCTAGTCCAGACCCAGACCTGGTACAGGGCAATGTACACCCCTGATTTCCAGGGCTTAGAATGAGGGGAGGGATGCAAAATATTTAATAGTTTTAAATTGGTTTCACGTTGAAGTGATATTATTTTGGATACAAATAAAATAAAATTATGTAATTAACCCAAATTTCCCTTACTTTTATTGATGTAACTTCCAGAAAATTTAAAAGTCTCTGTGTGGCTGGCATTATGTTTCCATAACATACAATAAAGTAAATGACCCAGCTGCGCTCCCTCGTGGCCACGTACCTTCCTGGCTCAGCAGACCTGCAGCCCTGCCATTGTCCTCTGGCTCATCCTTTACTGAAAGACCAGCAGTGCTGGCACCTGGCTGTGGGCACTGGCTTTAGACACCTGGCTGTAGGCACTGGGGCTTGGTGCGTGCAGAGGCTGGCATATGCTACTTCGCCTGCAGGGGCATCATGGCCTGAATCGCCATGGAGTTTAGAAGCTTTATTTTCTGACATTAAGAGGTGACTGAGTGGGTTTTAAAGAGGTGATTCGTGTGACATGATTTGCATTTTATCAAAAAAGTCACCTTGGCCTTGGTGTGGAGATGAAACTGGAAAAAGGGAGAGAGATGCAGAGCTAGGAGCGGAGCCTCTGTCTCCAATCTATGCTCTCTGCCCTGCTCCAGGCTCTTCTCATGGTTTAAATCACTATTTAAGAAATTTGGGGTGTGGCTCAGTGGCCCATATACCGCCACCACCCTTGGTATGTAGCACCTCAGGCCTGGCCCTGGCCAAACTGCAACAAAATAATAGCCGGGCATTGTGGCAGGCGCCTGTAGTCCCAGCTACTCGGGAGGCTGAGGCAAGAGAATCACCTAAGCCCAAGAACTGGAGGTTGCTGTGAGCTGTGACACCACAGCACTCTACCAAGGGTGACAAAGTGAGACTCTGTCTCTTAAAAAAAAAAAGGAAATTTGAATTTCTGTGATTTCCTAAGAGGCCAGGTTCTCCAGCAACTATAGTCTGAAGCAAAATATAGCAATGTGTTTTCTTTCCCCAACATAACAGCTCAACCAAGTTCCAGGGGATGAGAACCCCATTTTTCTCCCTTCGGATGCAAAATACGACTGGCTTTTGGCCAAAATCTGGGTGCGGTCCAGTGACTTTCATGTCCACCAGACCATCACTCACCTTCTGCGCACACATCTGGTGTCTGAAGTTTTCGGCATCGCCATGTACCGCCAGCTGCCTGCTGTGCACCCCATTTTCAAGGTACAGCCGTTCCTGCTTCATCTGGTAGGGGAAGGCATCCAGAATATGAGGGCCAGAAGGGGGCTGACATTCCTGGGGGACTGTGGTTGGGGGTGGGCAAAACAGGGCGGGATCCCCAGAGAAATGTCCAGGGAGTCATTAATACTAGGAGTCGCCCGCAGGAAGCAAGCAGCTGGGATTCTGCTATTCCCCAGTACAGGCTGCTAGGTAGGACTTGACAGGGGGCCTGGCTGGCCAGGGAATACACTTTTGAAAAACAAATGAGTTCAGTGTGATCCCCAGCTGATTCTAGCGGCCACCACTGCTGTCATTCTCCAGCCTTCTTCCTGAATTCTACTGGCACTGACTACTGGAGTGACAGCAGTCTAAAATACATCTGTGTGCCTCAGTTTCCTCATCAATGAAACAGACCGAAATAGTACACCTGCCTCATCAGATGATTGTCCATATTAGAATAGTTAATAAACTCAGCTTAAAACAGTGCCTGGCACTGTGTTGACTTATCATTTTTATCAATATCATCTTTATTGTTAACCATCAAAGCTGTGCCAAGCCTCTAGCACTCACTTAGCAGGAGGATCAGTACTCCAAACTTCACTTTCCCCTGTGCCCAGCATCCCCTCTGTGTGGTGGGCCAGGATGGGGCTTCTGTGGGGCCCAGGGGCATCTGGTCAGGAGGCCCTTGCCAGGCCCTGTCTGAGGCCTCCTCCTCCTCCCTGACCTAGCTGCTGGTAGCACATGTGCGATTCACCATTGCCATCAACACCAAGGCCCGAGAGCAGCTCATCTGCGAGTATGGCCTCTTTGACAAGGTGGGTACTCTCCTTGTCCTTGGGAAAGAGTTCTCCCTGGAAGCCTCCACCCTACCTCCAGCCACCAGAGGTCTCCTCTTCCTCTCAGAAGGCCAAGCCTGGATATACCACAGGGTGGAGGCCCAAGAAGGGTTGGAGGCTGAGCCCAGAATGCTAGTTGCTAGGTCCTCCAGTCAGTCTCTGGCCCCCTTCCACCCAGTATACCCTGTCTCCCTATCAGCTGCTCCCACCCCTCCCCTTTCCCAGCCTCTGGGATCCACTCCTTATGCACCCAGGACTTGTGACCACTGCTGCCCCCGGAGTTCTGCCCAGGACTGCCCAGCTCTCTGAACTCAGTACCCCCTCCCCACCCCACAGGCCTCAGTGACCCCCTCAGCTGTGCCCCCTGCCCCCAGCAGAACCCACCTTGTTGTGAGGCCCCTACAGCCTTACCAGCCCTAGCCTGACCTGTCCTGCTTCCCCACCCATTAGTGACCTGGCCAATGATCACTAAAGTTGAGACCTTGCTTGAGTGGCAAATGACAAAATCCCCAACTCAAACCAGCTGCAGCTGGACAGAACTAGTTTTATCTTATAAATTGGACATGATAGAAGGAGGGAGATCTCAGACCAAAATGGATTCAGAGACTCAAGCCGCACACCAGGGCCCACACATGCTGTCTCACACTTCTTCTCTCCCCACACTGATGCCACAGACATAGGGGTGGGGATGGAACCTTGTCACAGGGAGTTCTAGGCTCATGCTCCCTTGTAGCCATCACCTCCGGGGAGGCATCCAAACAACACTATCAGGAGCAACTCTAGTTGGTCCTGCTTGGGTCAAATGACCACTACGGACCAATCTCCAGCATCCAGCACACAAGTCCTTCTTCAAACATTCTGTGCCCCTGATTGCTCAGCCAGCTGTGTGGGTTAAAGTGTATGTGTGTGTGCCTGGGAGTATGTGAACATGTCTGCATCAGAGCAGCAGAAGCCCTCTTTGTGGGTTTGCTCCAGCCCTCACCTAAGCACACAACAGGTCCTCAGCAGAGCTGTGTGGGTCCTGAGGACTAGGTCCCCAAGAGCAATGACTCAGGGCATTCTGTAAACAGCACTAAAGCAGTCCCAGGGTCTTCACAGCTCAGGCCCACTAGTGCTGGGTACCCCCACACATCCAGCAGTTGCCTCGCTACTCTCTTGTGAGTAGGAGCTCACGCCTGCCCCCTGCAGCTCTGTGTCCCATTGTTGAAGTCCTTGCATTGGATATGGCAAAGGCACCTCCCTGTTACACCCTCCTACCGCTGCCCTTGGCTTTCTCTGCACTAAATATCCCCTCACCCCAGACAGGTTCGCCCCTCCACGTGCCTGACCACCCCACTGCCCTTGCATAGGTTGTGATGGATGCAAGGTGGGCTCTGGGGCTGGGCAGCAGGGGAGGGTAAGCCCTGACTCAGATGGCTCTCATCTACCCCAGGCCAACGCCACAGGGGGCGGCGGGCACGTGCAGATGGTGCAGAGAGCCATGCAGGACCTGACCTACACCTCCCTGTGCTTCCCTGATGCCATCAAGGCCCGGGGTATGGACAGCAAAGAGGACATCCCCAACTACTTCTACCGGGACGACGGGCTCCTGGTGTGGGAAGCCATCAAGACGTGAGCGAGAGCTGCGCTGGCTCCGTGGTCAGGCGCTGATGGGGGAGGGGAGGCGAGGGGGGCGCGGGTGTCCTCAACCCGGACATTAGGGGTACGTAAAGGGGGCGCCGCACACCTGGCTGGGTCACCCACTCCCAGCTGCTCCTCCCCTCCGAGCCAGGTTCACGGCTGAGGTGGTGGGCATCTACTACGAGAGTGACCGGGTGGTGGAGGAGGACCAGGAGCTGCAGGACTTCGTGAAGGACGTGTACGTGTACGGCATGCGGGGCAAGAAGGCCTCAGGTAGGGCCGCGGCTCCTTCACCTCGACCCCACCCCCGGACACCGGGGCCCGCCGCCCACCAGTTGCTTCCTCGGGGTGGGCGTCTCAGGGTACGCGACTTCCTCTAAGCAACAGCAGCGACACGCACGGTCCCCGTGGGAGCAGCGCACTCCCTGCCCCCACGGAGCGTCCTAACTGGGGGCGCCATCCCTGGTGCCGGGAGCATCGGGCGGGGGCGGGGCCTCAGGCGCGCGTCCCTCCGCCCTAGGCTTCCCCAAGTCCCTCAAGAGCAGGGAGAAGCTGTCGGAGTACCTGACCGTGGTGATCTTCACGGCCTCGGCCCAGCACGCCGCGGTGAACTTCGGCCAGGTAGGCACGACGAGGCCGTGGAGTGAGCACCCGCTCTGCACCTCCGACTCCGAGCCAGGTCCGCTCCTCAGCTCCTCCGCGCGTCCATGCCACCTGCTTTCGCGCCTGCGGGCCCCTGGGGCAGTCTGCGGATGGGCTGGAATTGGGTTGCTGGGGCGAGTTCCTCTGGCTCGTCCCAGGACGCTGGCCAGGGTGGGGGTGTGAGGGGAGATAGGGGCGACGGAAGGGCCCACTGCAGGGGAGGACCCTGGGGGCGAGGGCGCCCGAGCAGGCGACCTTCTAGTCGCGCAGGTGTACTCGCGGCGGGCGCAGGTGGGTTGGCAGCTGGGTTTCAGGCCCGCCCACGCTTGTCTGTGGCGGTCCGCAGTATGACTGGTGCTCGTGGATTCCCAACACCCCCCCAACCATGCGAGCTCCGCCACCCACGGCCAAGGGCGTCGTGACCATCGAGCGGATCGTGGACACCCTGCCCGACCGCGGCCGCTCCTGCTGGCATTTGGGTGCAGTGTGGGCGCTAAGCCAGTTCCAGGAAAATGAGGTGAGGCCGGGCAGGGTGGGGTCATCCCAGGTCATGCCAAATTTAACCCATTCCTCAACCTCAAGGATTTATGACTCAGGGCTCAAGCTGGACACATGGGGCCAAGAATCCTGCCTTACCAGGCTGGAGGGGCCCAAATGGCTGCAGGTGCCACTAGGTCCTCAGGCCTAGACCTGGACAGAGTTCAGGGTGGGCTAGGCAGGAGTGCTCACCGGCTGAGATCCACTCACTGTCACTGAAGGGTGGTGTGTGACACACCACACACCCTACCCCAGCTATTGACAAAGCTCTTCTATGTGGCTTCTCCCTAGCACCCCAGAGGGAGCAACTATGTTTCTTGGATTCCTTCTAGATGCATACTCCTTGTTTAACCTACCACCAAAACTGGTTATCCTGGACACAACCCCTGTAGCTCAGTGCTGCATAAAATGGTACCAGTGTCACTGGCTCCCAACAGATTGGGCGTCTAAATTGTTTCAGGGCCTTGGCTGTGTGAGTCCCTCACTAGACATGTGTACCTGTCATTCCTGGTAGAGGAATTTCTATGTCGAAGAATAGTGAGACAATTGTTCTCCGTACTTTAAATCCCAAATCTCACATTTTTCCAGCCCTGCAACTGTGTTTTAACAATCCAATACAGTAGTTTTTAAAAAGATATCCAGCTTTACCTTACAGACTTCTGTGAGCATGCAAATGAGCATGCAAATAAGCACACATCTCGACAGGATGGACCTCCCTACTGACTCCCACAGAGCCTGCCTTAGCCCTCCCTATACTCCTGCAGTGCCTGGAGCCCAGATGGGAAGTAGGCATGCTATATAGGGTGGCCTGAGTAGGACACTGCAACCACAGCTAGGACCACCAGCAGCTTCCACATTCCCCTACAATGTAGGGCCTGCATCATCTCATAACCACTTTGTAGTCAGGCAGTTATTTTTCCTGCTAATCCATGAAGCCCCAGCTTTCTTTGGAAAACCTCGGGGAAAGCAGGTTGGAGGCCTTCTTGAGGGACTCACTACAGGCAGCAGAGGGGGGGAATAGGGAGTTGAATAGATGCTCCCTCCCTGACTGTCCAATGGGTGGTCCCTGGGGGTGGGACAGGTCTGTCAGTCCACATCGGTGGCAGCTTAACCTGTCCACGTCTGGGTCCTCAGCTGTTCCTGGGCATGTACCCAGAAGAGCATTTCATCGAGAAGTCTGTGAAGGAGGCCATGGCTCGATTCCGCAAGAACCTTGAGGTCATCGTGGGCACAATTGCTGAGCGCAACAAGAACAAGAAGCTGCCATATTACTATTTGTCCCCAGACCGGATTCCCAACAGTGTGGCCATCTGAGCACACCTGCCCTAGTCCCACTCTGAGAAGGCAGCTACTCCTGCCCTCCGGACTCCAGCCTGCCAGCATGCTGTCTGGTCAGGCCTCCTGGAAGCTCACTTTTCCTGCAGACCAGTGTATTTCCCTGTTTAGCCCTCAGTCTTTAGGGAATCTCATAGTTAGATCAAAGTGTGTAAACACTGCAGGGCCCCTCCTACACAGAGCAGAACTGCACAGCCTTCTGCCCACAGCCAGCTCAGCACTTCCACAGTAGGCCGCAATAGCAAATCAGGGTCTCTGTTCTTGTTGGAGACATGGGATAATTATTTTCTGTCCTATTTATGCTTAGTCCAATTTTCTGCATGTAGTAGGTAGGTACCCAAATATTTGTTGAATGAATTAAGAATTTATGGTGTCATAAAAATAAAAAGTTTATATAATAGAGGTGTTGTTCTGCATGCTATGTGCCAGTCACCCTGAATAGGTCACTGCCACCCCTCCCCCAACATACCAGTAAAAACCTGTAATCACTGCTTTCATCTGAGCAAAGGCCTCCTCACCCAAATCTGGGTAGAAGGTGCTTCCCCCTCCCCACAACCTTTTCCCAGACAGGTCCTACTCTTTTTCAGAATACATCCTTGCTGCCATGACCTTTAAGAAGGTCCCTTTGGTTGCCCAGGTGGTTTATCTTTTCCCAGGACTTGGTCCCAGCCTCTCGTTGCCCTCCCTGTGGCCTCTCCCTTGGGAGAGGAGCCCCTGGAAGGACAAGGGACCCACCTTATTTATCTCTGTGCCCAGGGCTGGCATCAGGCATTAGCACTCAGCTGCTCTCTCATTTCCTTCCTGGCAGGGCATCTCAATGCCAGGTATCAGGCACTCTCTCAGGAGCTGGGGGCTTCCTTTTTCCTGAGACAGGGTTCTTAATAAAATTTATTATATTCTCAGCCAGGTGCAGTGGCTCATGCCTGTAATCCTACTACTCTGGGAGGCCGAAGCAGGAGGATCACTTGAGCTCAGGAGTTCAAGACCAACCTGAGTAAAAGCAAGATCCTGTCTCTACTAAACATAGAAAACTTAGCTGGGATCCTGATGTCCCAACTGCTCAGAGGCTGAAGCAGGAGGATCACTTGCACCCAAAAGTTTGAGGTTACATTGAACCACAATGACACCACGGCACTCTTGACAAAAAAAAGACCCATGCAGCAATGCTTTTTCTAAGCTTGGCGATCCCTTGCCTCTTCCTACTCACATGCCCGACTCATAACCCCACTCCCTGGCTTCAGAATCATGTCAACAGGGTCTCCAGTATTTCTGAAAGGTACTTCTGATGAGGTAGGCCAGCAGCTCAATGTTTGGGTAAAAGGCTTCTTTCTACCAGGACTAACATGACACAGAAGAAGGCATGCACATGTTCCTGGAGCTGCAAATCCCTCTAAGAAACCTGAGTGTGGAGTGAGTACAGCCCCTTACTACCCCACACTTCCTCCCATCCCTCTGAGAATTACCCACCACACTTGTGAATGACCTTCAGGACAGATACCATAAACATGTGGTCACAGTAGAGGCATTCAGCTCTGATTCCTGACCCTGAGAACCAAGACATTAACCACTGGAACCCACAAGGCCATGTAGTCAAGGAAGAGGGTGATGGAAGGAACAGGAGTAGACAATGCTGACGCGGGTCTGGCACCAGCAAAAGGAGAAAGAGAAGTAAGGGCTGAGTATCAAGGGCTTCACTCTAGCCATGGGAAGTCCTCAAACAAAAGTCACCAGTACAGAAGTACTGCATCTGGAAGGAATGGTGATAATGGTCTTGGCATGAATGTCACAGTGGATCCAAAGTGTGGCAGCTAAGGCTGTCTGTCACTTAGGTTTTCTGTAGCTGGTCCTCCTGGTTCCCTGCACCTGGGTATCTGAGGAGCACAGCTCCATCACTACCACAGGAGGGGGAAGAGTCCCAGATTCTATGCATAAACTCTGTCCAAACCTCTGGTTGACCCCTATGACACATATGCATGGGGCAAACTGCAAACAGCCCGATTTAGGATAAAACAACCTGTTAGTCTGTTTGTGCTGCTGTAACAAAGTACCTCAGTACTTCTAGCACTCCAGAGGCTAGAACCTAAGATCAAATCACCAGCAGATTCAGCATCTTATAAGGGCTCAGTCTCTTGCCTCCAAGATGGTGCCAAGAGGTACATCTTTCCTCACAGAGCCCAAGGGCAAAAAAGGATGAAAACACTCCGAAGCTTCTTTTATAAGAGCATTAATCCACTTTTGAGGGCTCAAGATTTAATCACTTCCCAAAAGGCCCCACTCCCTAAGAAAATGACCTTGGGGTCTAACA